CCACTTTGGAATCGGCTTAAGTTTGATTAAGTTATGGACTCTCGAAGTTCAATTTTGGGTCAAAGTTAAACAAGTCAAATTAGAAATAACTGACATGAAAATGGGTCAAAAATTTGATCAAAGTTAAATTGAAAAATTTGAATGCAGATTTTTAGAGAATCGAATCAGAAGTCTTTAGAGGTATGCCACTTTGGAATCGGCTTAAGTTTGGTAAAGTTATGGACTCTCTAAGTCCAATTTTAAGTCACTCTGTTACAAGTCCTCGGAAAGTCCTCAAAGTTAAATTGAAAAATTTGAATGCAGATTTTTAGAGAATCGAATCAGAAGTCTTTAGAGGTATGCCACTTTGGAATCGGCTTAAGTTTGGTAAAGTTATGGACTCTCGAAGTTCAATTTTGGGTCAAAGTTAAACAAGTCAAATTAGAAATAACTGACATAAAAATGGGTGAAAAATTTGATCAAAGTTAAATTGAAAAATTTGAATGCAGATTTTTAGAGAATCGAATCAGAAGTCTTTAGAGGTATGCCACTTTGGAATCGGCTTAAGTTTGGTAAAGTTATGGACTCTCGAAGTTCAATTTTGGGTCAAAGTTAAACAAGTCAAATTAGAAATAACTGACATAAAAATGGGTGAAAAATTTAATCAAAGTTAAATTGAAAAATTTGAATGCAGATTTTTAGAGAATCGAATCAGAAGTCTTTAGAGGTATGCCACTTTGCAATCGGCTTAAGTTTGGTTAAGTTATGGAACTCTAAGTCCAATTTTGAGTCACTCCTTTACAAGTCATCGGAAAATTAGAAATAACTCACATGAAAATGGGTCAAAAAATTAATCGACGTTAAATTGAAAAATTTGAATGCAGATTTTTAGAGAATCGAATCAGAAGTCTTTAGAGGTATGCCACTTTGCAATCGGCTTAAGCTTGGTAAAGTTATGGACTCTCGAAGTTCAATTTTGGGTCAAAGTTAAACAAGTCAAATTAGAAATAACTGACATGAAAATGGGTCAAAAATTTGATCAACGTTAAATTGAAAAATTTGAATGCAGATTTTTAGAGAATCGAATCAGAAGTCTTTAGAGGTATGCCACTTTGGAATCGGCTTAAGTTTGGTAAAGTTATGGACTCTCTAAGTCCAATTTTGAGTCACTCTGTTACAAGTCCTCGGAAAACTACAAATAACTGACATGAAAATGGGTCAAAAATTTGATCAACGTTAAATTGAAAAATTTGAATGCAGATTTTTAGAGAATCGAATCAGAAGTCTTTAGAGGTATGCGGCTTTGGAATCGACTTAAGTTTGGTAAAGTTATGGACTCTCGAAGTTCAATTTTGGGTCAAAGTTAAACAAGTCAAATTAGAAATAACTGACATAAAAATGGGTGAAAAATTTGATCAAAGTTAAATTGAAAAATTTGCAGATTTTTAGAGAATCGAATCAGAAGTCTTTAGAGGTATGCCACTTTGCAATCGGCTTAAGCTTGGTAAAGTTATGGAACTCTAAGTCCAATTTTGAGTCACTCTTTTACAAGTCATCGGAAAATTAGAAATAACTCACATGAAAATGGGTCAAAAATTTGATCAACGTTAAATTGAAAAATTTGAATGCAGATTTTTAGAGAATCGAATCAGAAGTCTTTAGAGGTATGCGGCTTTGGAATCGGCTTAAGTTTGGTAAAGTTATGGACTCTCGAAGTTCAATTTTGGGTCAAAGTTAAACAAGTCAAATTAGAAATAACTGACATGAAAATGGGTCAAAAATTTGATCAAAGTTAAATTGAAAAATTTGAATGCAGATTTTTAGAGAATCGAATCAGAAGTCTTTAGAGGTATGCCACTTTGGAATCGGCTTAAGTTTGGTAAAGTTATGGACTCTCTAAGTCCAATTTTAAGTCACTCTGTTACAAGTCCTCGGAAGGTCCTCAAAGTTAAATTGAAAAATTTGAATGCAGATTTTTAGAGAATCGAATCAGAAGTCTTTAGAGGTATGCCACTTTGCAATCGGCTTAAGTTTGGTTAAGTTATGGACTCTCTAAGTCCTATTTTGGGACAACGTTAAACAAGTCAAATTAGAAATAACTGACATGAAAATGGGTGAAAAATTTGATCAAAGTTAAATTGAAAAATTTGCAGATTTTTAGAGAATCGAATCAGAAGTCTTTAGAGGTATGCCACTTTGCAATCGGCTTAAGCTTGGTAAAGTTATGGAACTCTAAGTCCAATTTTGAGTCACTCTTTTACAAGTCATCGGAAAATTAGAAATAACTCACATGAAAATGGGTCAAAAATTTGATCAACGTTAAATTGAAAAATTTGAATGCAGATTTTTAGAGAATCGAATCAGAAGTCTTTAGAGGTATGCGGCTTTGGAATCGGCTTAAGTTTGGTAAAGTTATGGACTCTCGAAGTTCAATTTTGGGTCAAAGTTAAACAAGTCAAATTAGAAATAACTGACATGAAAATGGGTCAAAAATTTGATCAAAGTTAAATTGAAAAATTTGAATGCAGATTTTTAGAGAATCGAATCAGAAGTCTTTAGAGGTATGCCACTTTGGAATCGGCTTAAGTTTGGTAAAGTTATGGACTCTCTAAGTCCAATTTTAAGTCACTCTGTTACAAGTCCTCGGAAGGTCCTCAAAGTTAAATTGAAAAATTTGAATGCAGATTTTTAGAGAATCGAATCAGAAGTCTTTAGAGGTATGCCACTTTGCAATCGGCTTAAGTTTGGTTAAGTTATGGACTCTCTAAGTCCTATTTTGGGACAACGTTAAACAAGTCAAATTAGAAATAACTGACATGAAAATGGGTCAAAAATTTGATCAAAGTTAAATTGAACAAGAAAGGAAAGCTAACTTCGGGCGGAGCCGAAGTTGATATACCCTTGCAGAATACTCTTGATATTATATTCTCCAAAATTATTCATATGATGCATTCTTAATACTTATAAAATATCCCAACTTCCTAACTTTAAGAACACCAAAGTTATGCCATTTCCGATCGTTCAGTTATATGGCAGCTTTAGGATATAGTCGGCCGATCCTTATGAAATTTGATAGGTCGGATTGATTGGCCAAAAATAAAAGCCATTGAAAATCCCAACTTCCTAACTTAACAAACACCAAAGTTATGGCATATCCGATCAATCAGTTATATGGCAGCTATAGGATATAGTCGGCCGATCCTTATGAAATTTGGTAGGTCGGATTGATTGGCCAAATATAAAACCCATAGGAAATTCCAGCTTCCTAACTTTACAAACACCAAAGTTATGGCATATCCGATCAATCAGTTATATGGCAGCTATAGGATATAGTCGGCCGATCCTTATGAAATTTGGTAGGTCGGACTAATTGGCCAAATATAAAAGCCATAGAAAATCCCAGCTTCCTAACTTTACAAACACCAAAGTTATGGCATATCCGATCAATCAGTTATATGGCAGCTATAGGATATAGTCGGCCGATCCTTATGAAATTTGGTAGGTCGGATTGATTGGCCAAATATAAAACCCATAGGAAATTCCAGCTTCCTAACTTTACAAACACCAAAGTTATGGCATATCCGATCAATCAGTTATATGGCAGCTATAGGATATAGTCGGCCGATCCTTATGAAATTTGGTAGGTCGGACTAATTGGCCAAATATAAAAGCCATAGAAAATCCCAGCTTCCTAACTTTACAAACACCAAAATTATGGCATTTCCGATCAATCAGTTATATGGCAGCTATAGGATATAGTCGGCCGATCCCGGCCGTTCTGACATATATACTGCGTGCAAAGGAAAGAAGGGTGTGTGCAAAGTTTGAACTCGATAGCTTAAAAACTGAGAGACTAGTTCGCGTAGAAACAGACAGACGGACAGACAGACAGACGGACAGACAGACGGACAGACAGACGGACAGACGGACAGACGGACATGGCTATATCAACTCAGGAGGTGATCCTGATCAAGAATATATATACTTTATAGGGTCGGAGATGTCTCCTTCACTGCGTTGCACACTTTTGACCAAAATTATAATACCCTCTGCAAGGGTATAAAAATTTGAATGCAGATTTTTAGAGAATCGAATCAGAAGTCTTTAGAGGTATGCCACTTTGGAATCGGCTTAAGTTTGGTAAAGTTATGGACTCTCTAAGTCCAATTTTAAGTCACTCTGTTACAAGTCCTCGGAAAGTCCTCAAAGTTAAATTGAAAAATTTGAATGCAGATTTTTAGAGAATCGAATCAGAAGTCTTTAGAGGTATGCCACTTTGGAATCGGCTTAAGTTTGGTAAAGTTATGGACTCTCGAAGTTTAATTTTGGGTCAAAGTTAAACAAGTCAAATTAGAAATAACTGACATAAAAATGGGTGAAAAATTTGATCAAAGTTAAATTGAAAAATTTGAATGCAGATTTTTAGAGAATCGAATCAGAAGTCTTTAGAGGTATGCCACTTTGGAATCGGCTTAAGTTTGGTAAAGTTATGGACTCTCGAAGTTCAATTTTGGGTCAAAGTTAAACAAGTCAAATTAGAAATAACTGACATAAAAATGGGTGAAAAATTTGATCAAAGTTAAATTGAAAAATTTGAATGCAGATTTTTAGAGAATCGAATCAGAAGTCTTTAGAGGTATGCCACTTTGCAATCGGCTTAAGCTTGGTAAAGTTATGGAACTCTAAGTCCAATTTTGAGTCACTCTTTTACAAGTCATCGGAAAATTAGAAATAACTCACATGAAAATGGGTCAAAAATTTGATCAACGTTAAATTGAAAAATTTGAATGCAGATTGTTAGCGCACGCTAACCCTTGAAATAAATCATTGTAAACACTCCAATGTAAATAGCCTATAATCCAATGATTATTCCTATCTCACCATTCCTAAATAAGTAAAAACCAAAACTGGGGACTCGACCTTTACAAGAGTTTCCGGGCACTTCGAATAAAACGTTGACCAGAGAAGACAAAAGCTCCGCATTTTTTCTTAGTTTCCTGTAAAACTCATCGACTCTCTAGCTGTGGAACCGAGCGTTGTCCTCGGCATCCTCATCATCGTCAGCATCATCGAAGTCATCAACGACATCCTTACCGTCAGCATCAGCATCGACATCCCCTCTTCACCCATCACCGCAGGCAGCAGTTTCTACGAGCTGAGCCGGCAATTCGTCAACTCCAATCATCCACACAAGGCCACAGCAAGCAAGCTCCGCTACTTAGCTGTCACCTTTTCATGGTCCATCTCGCAAACATCGAATCATCGCCCTATTCCAAAAAGGTAAATGATCGTGGCTAACCTACAAGCCACGTTAAAAAGAAATTTTACATTTTTTCCCTTAAGTACAATCAGGGTAACAGCACCCTTACGGAAATAAATACAGTCCACAAGAATAATAAAGTACACAAACTCAAATAAGTTAAAAAGCCAGTCCCTTTGCACGGTATATTTTAATTTAAAAATCTGTCTCACATTTACACACACACCTGTAGTTACAGAACATAACTACGTGCATTATTGCACGCTCACACTAAAACATTATTACACACACTACAACATAACCACGTGCATAAGTACCCTCGCACACTTGAACATTATTACACTCAAACAGCAAAAATATGCATCAATTGTTTGGCTTCTAACCACGCAATAAACGAATGCAAAAGTTTAAAAACATGCATCACATGCAATAAGCGACATCATACTCTGCTGCATTTCTCGCCTCGACAGCAAGAATCCCAGGTAGTCGACGCACATTACGCGGGTCAAAATCCGAACGGGATTTTACCCACCGCGATAGTCTACATTCCCTATAAAGGCGAACTTATTCGCATGCGAGCTTTGATCGACCCAGGCTCCCAAAGGTCATTTATCAGTGAAAAGGCTCAAAAACGCGTCAGTTTGCCGACCATAAAATGCCACTCAAATATTTCAGGGATCGGAGGTCATTACGTCAGCTCATCGTCCAAAATATGCAAATTTAAACTCACCAACGGGGAAGATCGGTGCTCTATACCAGTTGAGGCTATCGTACTCAAAAGACTAACCAATCTTCTCCCGTCTGTTTCCGTTACGAAACCAAAATCCCCAAGTCTAGATCAATTAAATCTGGCAGATCCCAACTTTTCAACCGCTGCAGAAATTGACATAGTACTGGGAAGCGACATCACTCCCCAGATATTTCTAGAAGGCATAACAACGCCCCTAGACAACAATCTACTCGCTCAGCTCACGGTGTTCGGGTGGTTAATTAGTGGTCCACTCCCCAACACCTCCACAGCCTATGCTTTTTCAACTCTTGTGGAAGAAGACACAGCAGACGTAGGAAAACAGCTACAAAAATTTTGGGAACTTGAAGAAATATCCGTAGCCAAAACCGTAACCGAGGTGGACGAAAATTGCGAAACCCATTACGTCAACACTACTCAAAGGTTACCTGATGGTAGATATATGGTGCGCCTCCCGTTCAAAAGTGAATTCCCCAATACCATGTCCCTAGGTTCTTCCAGAAATATCGCTATGGGGCAATACGCTCGGCTCTACAAAACATTGCTTAAAGACGAGGCCATAAATTTGGAATACTCCCGAGTCCTTCAAGAGTACATTGACCTAGGTCACATGACAGAAGTTCCACCCATGGAAATCATTCAGAAAAATCAATATCTCTCGTTTTACCTTCCTCACCATGCGGTCGTCCGGCCCGAAAGTAAATCCACCAAATTACGCGTGGTATTTAACGCATCGCGTAAAACCCATTCTCAATTTGCATTAAACGATGTTCTCCATAAAGGCCCCGTCCTCCAAGGGGACCTTTTAGGCATCTTACTCAATTGGAGACTGTACAAATTCGTGTTTAACGGCGACATTGAAAAAATGTACAGGCAAATTTTAGTCCATCCGGACGATCGCCCATTCCAGCGTCTGATATTCCGTCCCAAACAATCAGCAATCATGAAAGATTTCCAGCTGAATACGGTCACATTCGGGGTAAACTGCGCTCCATTCCTAGCAATTCGCACGCTGCAACAGCTGGCTACGGACTGCAAAGAAAAATACCCAAGGACAAGCCAAATCCTGCTCCAGGAAACTTATGTCGACGACATACTTGCCGGTGCTCACACTCTCGAGGACGCAAAAAATGCCCAAAGCCAACTTATTGCGTCGCTAAAATCCGCAGGATTTCTCCTCAAAAAGAACACTGCAAATCACATCAAGCTGTTGGAGAATATAGCTGTTGCAGACCGGCTAGATACCGAATTTTTGGAGGTGCCCGAAGCAAGTACGACCAAGACGCTAGGAATAAAATGGGACGCACAGAATGACGTGTTCCAATACAATATAAAAGCACCCACTCCATGCAAAACAATCACCAAAAGAGCAATGCTATCCCACGCATCCACTTTGTTTGACCCGGCAGGATGGCTTACGCCTATCGTAATCCACGCGAAACTGCTGCTCCAATCCCTTTGGAAAGAAGGTCAAGACTGGGACGAGTGTGTCAAGCCAACTACATTGACCACTTGGAACAAATTTCTCGAAGTTTTACCATATATAAAGACCATCAGCATACCCAGATGGGTAGGATACGAGCCAACGCAAGACATCCAATTGCATGGATTTTCGGACGCATCAGAAAAAGCATATTGTGCCGCAATATACATTCGATCTAGTTACGCTGGATCACCCGCCCAATCCCATTTATTAGTTGCTAAAACCAAGGTTGCGCCACTCAAAGCAGTAAGCTTGCCGCGCTTAGAATTATGCGGCGCACATCTCTTGGCACGGCTAGTGCAACATACATTCAAGACAACGCAACTTCCCGAGCTAAAAACCTTCTTGTGGTCGGATTCCACCATAGTCCTAGCATGGCTGGAAAAACCACCAGGTACATGGAAAACGTTTGTCGCAAATCGTACGGCCGCCATATAAGAAAAAACTCACAATGCCAAATGGAGCCACGTAAAATCCCACGATAACCCGGCCGACTTAGGCACCCGCGGCTGTACCCCCACCGAACTCAAAGACTCGCTATTATGGTGGCACGGGCCAAAATGGCTATCAATCCCAGAGGAAAATTGGCCTTGCAGCCAAGCTCCTGCTATCACTCCTCCAGAACAGAAGAAGGTTCAGCAGTTTTTCACGGAATCTGAAAACTGTGATATATGTGAACAATTCACGACTTACTCGCGGGCACTACGAGCAACAGCACGAATTATGCGTTGGTATCAAGCAAATCCCGCAACTCCCAAGGACAGTGCTCTCCAAATCAAAGACGCCAAAACTAGGCTTATTATAGCAGCACAACGCCTTTTCTATCCCAAAGAATATGATCAGTTACTCAGCCAACATCCTATCTCCAACAAAAGCAAGTTAAGTACTTTATGCCCAATCATTGATTCCGTTGGGCAAATTAGAATCAATAGTAGATTAGCCAACGCAAACATACCTTACAAGGAACGATTTCCCATACTATTACCACCCAAATCGAAACTTACCACCCTGTTTATCGACTTCATCCACAGCACTCTTCTTCATGCTCAAAACCAGCTGATGCTAAGAGCGATTCGGCAAGAATTCTTTGTCCCCAAACTAGCCAATCTCGTTAAGGCATCTATTCGCAAATGTATAACATGTACGCGTTTTAAACAAGTCACAAAAAATCAAATTATGGCCGCACTTCCCCCCGAAAGAACACAATTTTCTCCCGCGTTCACTATAACCGGAGTTGACTTCGCGGGTCCATTTAATTTAAAAGCCTCCAATATACGAACCAAGGTAGTTCTCAAAGGCTACGTTTCCGTGTTCGTATGTTTCTCCACTAAAGCGGTCCACTTGGAAGCCGTCTCAGAACTTAGTTCAAAGGCATTCTTGCAAGCATTCGAACGTTTTGTCAGCCGTAGAGGCATCCCAAAAAAGGTTGTGTCAGACAATGGCCGAAATTTCCTTGGCGCCAGTAGAGAACTGACAAAAAACTTCGCAGAGTTCATGAAATCTGCAATTGATCATGTTTCCAGCCTTTACAGCAGTCGTGAACTAGAGTGGCAATTCATACCCCCCCACGCTCCCCATATAGGTGGACTCTGGGAAGCTGCTGTTAAGACCTTCAAAAAGCATTTCACTCGAACCGCAGGTACCAGAATATTCACATTCGAGGAGTTTGCCACATTACTTGCGAAAATAGAGGCCGTTCTTAATTCTCGTCCGCTATGCATACCCAGATCCAATATTGAAGACTTACTGCCACTAACTCCGGGTCATTTCCTTCGAGGAGCACCGTTGACGGCGCTTCCTGAAAATCCCAACGAATCTCTCTCCATACTAAACCGTTGGCAGAAGCTAAAACTTCTTCATCAAGAATTCAGCACCCGATGGCGACATGAATACCTTCATGAACTCCACCGAAGGTATAAATGGAAGCAACCAAAAGCCAACCTTTCAGTTAATGACATCGTCATTATCAAGGACGACGCCTGCCCACCCACGCATTGGCGTCTTGGAAGAGTCATACACTTACATACCTTCATGAACTCCACCGAAGGTATAAATGGAAGCAACCAAAAGCCAACCTTTCAGTTAATGACATCGTCATTATCAAGGACAACGCCTGCCCACCCACGCATTGGCGTCTTGGAAGAGTCATACACTTACATCCAAGCAAAGACCAAAATACGCGCACAGTGGACCTCCAAACCCAAAGTGGACCGCTCACGCGACCCATTGTAAAACTCGTGCCTCTCCCAATCAAAGACAACTCGTCCTCGGTTGAACAATAACCGAAATCCCACCCCATTCTCTCTATCTCTCTGTTAAAGTTGTCTCATTTATACCCACATACTAATTCCGTAATTAATTCCGTAGATAAGATACAAGTGCCGCATGTTCCACAAAGGTCATCCTTTGCGCGTATGCGCTAAATTCATCAAGCTGAGCATCCTGGAACGCCGTCGCGCCGCACAAAGAATGGGCTACTGCTCAAATTGCCTGGCCACCACACATCGCGTGCATCAATGCGATTCCAAAGAGGTGTGTCACAAGTGTGGAGACCTGCATCACACTTTGCTGCACCACGGCTACACCACCACGGAAGCTCCAGAAGCATCAAAGAAGGAAGGACATCAACCGCGCAGCCCACGAAAGGACAGCTCTTCAACAAGCATCAACCGACCCGTTCGAGCGAGTCGTTCCAAAACAAGGAACACTTCCGAACGCCGCCCTCCGAGACGCAGTATCTCACCATCTCAGACGCTTCACCAGCTGCAGGAAGCCATCAAAAGCCTAACCAAGCTTAAAACCGCCATCCGGCAGGGGGGCGGCATGTTAGCGCACGCTAACCCTTGAAATAAATCATTGTAAACACTTCAATGTAAATAGCCTATAATCCAATGATTATTCCTATCTCACCACTTCGAATAAAACGTTGACCAGAGAAGACAAAAGCTCCGCATTTTTTCTTAGTTTCCTGTAAAACTCATCGACTCTCTAGCTGTGGAACCGAGCGTTGTCCTCGGCATCCTCATCATCGTCAGCATCATCGAAGTCATCAACGACATCCTTACCGTCAGCATCAGCATCGACATCCCCTCTTCACCCATCACCGCAGGCAGCAGTTTCTACGAGCTGAGCCGGCAATTCGTCAACTCCAATCATCCACACAAGGCCACAGCAAGCAAGCTCCGCTACTTAGCTGTCACCTTTTCACAGATTTTTAGAGAATCGAATCAGAAGTCTTTAGAGGTATGCGGCTTTGGAATCGGCTTAAGTTTGGTAAAGTTATGGACTCTCGAAGTTCAATTTTCGGTCAAAGTTAAACAAGTCAAATTAGAAATAACTGACATAAAAATGGGTGAAAAATTTGATCAAAGTTAAATTGAAAAATTTGAATGCAGATTTTTAGAGAATCGAATCAGAAGTCTTTAGAGGTATGCCACTTTGGAATCGGCTTAAGTTTGGTTAAGTTATGGAACTCTAAGTCCAATTTTGAGTCACTCTTTTACAAGTCATCGGAAAATTAGAAATAACTCACATGAAAATGGGTCAAAAAATTAATCGACGTTAAATTGAAAAATTTGAATGCAGATTTTTAGAGAATCGAATCAGAAGTCTTTAGAGGTATGCCACTTTGCAATCGGCTTAAGCTTGGTAAAGTTATGGACTCTCGAAGTTCAATTTTGGGTCAAAGTTAAACAAGTCAAATTAGAAATAACTGACATGAAAATGGGTCAACGTTAAATTTAACAAGAAAGGAAAGCTAACTTCGGGCGGAGCCGAAGTTGAAATACCCTTGCAGAATATTCTGCAAATTATATTCTCCAAAATTATTCATATGATGCATTCTTTATACTCATAAAAATCCCAACTTCCTAACTTTAAAAACACCAAAGTTATGGCATTTCCAATCGTTCAGTTATGTATATGGCAGCTATAGAATATAGTCGGCCGATCCTTATGAAATTTGATATGTCGGATTGATTGGGCAAAAAATAAAACCCATAGAAAATTCCAACTTCCTAACTTAACAAACACTTAAGTTATGGCATTTCCGATCAATCAGTTATATGGCAGCTATAAGATATAGTCGACCGATCCTTATGAAATTTGGTAGGTCGGATTGATTGGCCAAATATAAAACCCATAGAAACTTCCTAACTTAACAAACAGCAGAGTTATGGCATTTCCGATCAATCAGTTATATGGCAGCTATAGGATATAGTCGGCCGATCCCGGCCGTTCCGACTTATATACTGCGTGCAAAGGAAAGAAGGGTGTGTGCAAAGTTTCAATTCGATATCTTTAAAACTGAGAGACTAGTTCGCGTTGAAACAGACAGACGGACAGACAGACGGACAGACAGACGGACAGACAGACGGACAGACGGACAGACGGACAGACGGACATGGCTATATCAACTCAGGAGGTGATCCTGATCAAGAATATATATACTTTATAGGGTCGGAGATGTCTCCTTCACTGCGTTGCACACTTTTGACCAAAATTATAATACCCTCTGCAAGGGTATAAAAATGTATCGGCGATAGATTCAAAATAATATTTAATAAATCTATTTCTCAAAAGTTGGCATTACCATTAAGGAAAAGTTCGAGGGGGTTGAATTTTATTGATTGATTTTATATTCTATGACATATTCTATGACATATTCTATGACTAAGTACAAATTTTCTTATATGTACCAGTGCTCAATAACAATTCTAAATTAGGTTTAAAATTAAATCTGAAAAACACACCAAAGATCCTTATGAAATTTGGTATGTCTGATACATTGACCAAATAAAAAACCAATACAAAATCCCAATTTCCTAACTTTAAAAACACCAATGTTATGGCATTTCCGATCGTTCAGTTAAATGGCAGCTATAGAATATAGTCGTCCGATCCTTATGAAATTTGGTAGGTCAGATTGATTGGCCAAATATAAAACCCATAAAAAATCCCAATATCCTAACTTTAAAAATAAAAAAAACACCAATGTTATGGCATTTCCGATCGTTCAGTTATATGGCAGCTATAGAATATAGTCGACCGATCCTTTTAAAATTTGGTAGGTCAGATTGATTGGCCAAATATAGAACCCATAAAAAATCCCAACTTCCTAACTTTAAAAACACCAAAGTTATGGCATTTCTGATCGTTCAGTTATATCGCAGCTATAGGATATAGTCGACCGATCCATATGAAATTGGGAACGTCGGATTGATTGGCCAAAAATACAACCCATAGAAAATCCCAACTTCCTAACTTTACAAACACCAAAGTTATGGCATTTCGGATTAATCAGTTATATGGCAGCTATAGGATATAGTCGGCCGATCCTTATGAAATTTGGTAGGTCGGATTGATTGGCCAAATTTAAAACCCATAGAAAGTCCCAACTTCCTAACTTTACAAACACGAAAGTTATGGCATTTCCGATCAATCAGTTATATGGCAGCTATAGGATATAGTCGGCCGATCCCGGCCGTTCCGACTTATATACTGCGTGCAAAGGAAAGAAGGGTGTGTGCAAAGTTTCAATTCGATAGCTTTAAAACTGAGCGACTAGTTTGCGTAGAAACAGACAGACGGACAGACAGACGGACAGACAGACGGACAGACAGACGGACAGACGGACAGACGGACAGACGGACATGGCTATATCAACTCAGGAGGTGATCCTGATCAAGAATATATATACTTTATATGGTCGGAGATGTCTCCTTCACTGCGTTGCACACTTTTGACCAAAATTATAATACCCTCTGCAAGGGTATAAAAATTTGAATGCAGATTTTTAGAGAATCGAATCAGAAGTCTTTAGAGGTATGCCACTTTGCAATCGGCTTAGGCTTGGTAAAGTTATGGACTCTCGAAGTTCAATTTTGGGTCAAAGTTAAACAAGTCAAATTAGAAATAACTGACATGAAAATGGGTCAAAAATTTGATCAACGTTAAATTGAAAAATTTGAATGCAGATTTTTAGAGAATCGAATCAGAAGTCTTTAGAGGTATGCCACTTTGGAATCGGCTTAAGTTTGGTAAAGTTATGGACTCTCGAAG